GCAGAGAATTGCCAGGAATGCCACGAGGGGCTGGGAGAAACATTGGGTCCCTCCTGCCTTTAGTTCTGGGCTGCAGGCAGGGCCCACCCTGAGCATCCCTGGCATTTGGATCTGGATTTCCGAAAAGAGAAAAAGGTATTTGGACCTGGAGTTCATATAGGAGAAAAAGGCATTTGCACCTTAATTTTAGAAAAGAGAAAAAGGCGTTTGGACCTCGATTTCAGAAAAGTAAAAAAAGGCATTTGGAGCTGGATTTCCCAGGAGCAGGACAATGGGATGATCCCATGGGCACACAAGGTCCCAGGGTGTATGATCGTGGTGTCTGCACCCACAGGTGTCATTCCCATTCAATATTTACCCTGCAGTGGCCTTTGGGGACATCAATTACAACTTTTGGGACATCCAGGAGTGGGGAAAGAGGGGCAGAGATGGATCTCAATGCATACAGAAGTTTTTTAAACCCCTCAAAACCGAAGCATTGCCTTGAGGGGTTCACCTTTGGGCACAGAGCTCCTGAAATTCTTTGGGATTTCCTGCTGTGTGGGGTCCTCCTGTTTCTTCCTGGTGGGGATTTTCCCTGGGATGTGCAGGATCTCTCCCATGGGCTCCCAGGTGCCATAAAAAATGCACCATTGCCATAAAATTCTCACTTACCTCATCCCTAATCATGATTTCAAGGAGATGAGGTAACCAAACTCACCACCAATAAATTTATCATCATTGTCCAACCCCACTCTTTTATCATTATTTCATTAAACTTGTTCACTTAATGAGTTTATGGCACTTTAAATAACGATTCTCTCCCTCTGAATTCCAACTTGAATTCAAAATACCCCGCTGGGAAGACTCTGAATTGGGATGAGATGTCTGCAGCCACTTCTCAGCTCCCAAAATAAGGGATATGTGCCAGTACTCCTGGAAATTCCCACACTGGAAGCCCCCCAGGTGTGTTTTTCTTTTCTAAAGCCCAGGGAAATAGGCTGAGCTTAGGAATGGCTGAGCCACTCTCCCAGCCCCTGGAAAATCAAACTTTTTCCTGGTTTTTGCATCTCTGAGGATGCTGGAAAGTCTCAGAATTGGGTATTTCCAGCGATTTTGACAGCRAAACTCTGACATTGTTTGGGGCTTACAAAATACAGATATTAAAAGCCCCCTGATCTCAACATTAAGACGTATTTTCTGATAACAAATTGAAGGTTCCTTTGGCTTTCCTTARTTCTATAAATTCCTGCCCAAATTTCTCAGGAGGGCGGAACGTGAATCCCTTCAAACGTACCCATGCAGCACCAAATAAAATAATAATTAATAGGTGACTCAGATAAAAGCTTTCCATCTCAGGGCAGAGGGAAGAATTAGTTAATTAATCATCAAGTTGGCATTAACTTATCTTTTGGCACCTCCGAGAAAATGTAAATCTGAAACGAGCTGGGGGTGGCGGTGTGTGGAAACAAAGGAAGAAGAAGCCAACAATAGTTTTGGAAATGGATGACAAAACCCAAATGTTCTGCCTGGCTGCTGCTAAATTAAGCTCTGTGTTATCAGGGCAAAGATTAGGAAAAGAGAGATTTTCCTTGGAACCTGAAGTCGCATTTTGGAGCGGGATGTGACAGCAGGAGGGGAGAAAAGAGGATTCACTCACCGTGAAAATGAGTGGGGAAAAAAAAAAATCTGCTCGGTTCTTGGTTTGCCCCAAAGCGGTTCTGTGGAGGAAAAGAAGAAAGGAGAGCGTTCATTTATTTTGTAGGAGATGAAGAAGTGATCCCCACCCTCCCTCCCATCTCAGGCTCCATCCAATCCATCTTTGCCTTCAGYCCTTTTTGACCAAATTGCCCTTTTTTCCCCCATTTCTAAGTGGAAAGGGCTCTGGTGGGATCCTGCCTTGAGACAAACGCCGTTCTGGGAATTATTTTAGTGCAAAAAGGATGAGAAAACTTGTTTTCCCACCTTCCATCAGAGGCTCCCAGCTGCTGAACAAAGATGGGAGATCATCAGATGGAATTGTGTTTTCTCCAATCGATTTTTTTGGCTTCTTTTGAGCAAAATTCCCTCTTTCAGAGAGAGGTCAGCTCCACAAACACAGCACAGCCCTCGATGGATGCACCAATTAATGCTTTGTCAAATYCTGCTCGAATTCAAACCATCCCAGCTGGCACTTTTACCCCAAATCCAGATGAGCAGCGGYGAGGGAAATGATTACACGCATTTCTTCCTCAACTCCAATTAATAAAATCAGCTCAGCCCCATGAAAAACGTTTTGCAACCACCTGTGGGTGTTTGTTGGATCAAAGGAGCTGCATTCYTTCCTGCCCAGGCACGGGCAGATCCCTTCCCCTGTGCGTGGGGGAAAAAGCCATTTTATTCCCAAAGAATTGGGAATTAGGGAAAGTAGGAAGATTCCCTTAAACAATCTTTGCTTTTAATTCAATATATTCTATCTAGAATCAGCTGAAAACAACTCTTGGTGAGCCATGACCAGAAGGAAACTCAACACAAGGAAACCCCATGAAATCCAGATATTCCACAAATCCACCTCCAGCACTCAAAAAATCAAAGTATTCCCAATCAACGAGGGCAGATCCCTTCCCTGCCTGCTGGAGGATGGATGTATGCATTGCTCCTCCAAAAAAAAAAAAAACATTTTATTCCCAAAGAACTGGGAATTAGGGAAGGTAGAAATAATCTCTTAAACTATTCTTGCCTTTAATTCAATGTATCCTAACCAGCATCAGCCCAAAAGAACCTTCCAAGACTCATCCCAAACTCTCTGGGGTCCATAACCCAAAGGAAATTAATCACAGGGAAACTCCAGGAAATCAAGATGTTCCACAAATCCACCTCCAGCACTCAAAAAAAATCAATGTATTCCCAATCAACGAGTCTGCTGAGGCACAGCACAGAGCCCACTGACCCTCTGCAATCCRTCCAAACCAAAACTCATCCCTTCCTGACATTCTCTTCCCTTCTGTTTTCTTTTTGCCCCCAAAATGATATGAAACCCGGCGTTCCAGCTGGAAATCCTGATCAAACACACAAAAAACCACCAGGACCTGGGTTTAGCTGCATCAAAGGCCATTCAGAGGCTGCATTTTTCCCCCAACTTGTCCAGCCATAATTAGTCAAAAATATGTCAAAAGGGAGGCAACATGATCCTGCATTTCTCCAGAAAAAGAAGAYGCAGCTTTGGGTGTTGTTGGGGATTACTTTTCCTCCATTAAACCTTGCATCCATTAATTTCATTTCGAGAATGAAGACAGCTTTTTTTTCTCTCTTTTTTCCCTTTTTTT